GCAACCGAAATTGCGACACTTTTGGCAAACTCCGCCCACTTAGGTGCGTGCTCTACCCACTAATAGCATTTGACCTCCTTTCCTTCGCCGACCTCTACTCCCTTTTTCCCAGCCTCCTGGACTTCTTGGGGCCGAGTTATGAATTTTCGTCGCAAACTCCGCCCACTTTGGTCATGTCCCGCCCACCATTGACAGCTGGCCTCCACTCCTCCACCCACCTCCATCCACCTTTTTCCGCGGCCTCAGGGACTTCTTGGAGCCAAGTCATGAATTTTCGTCGCAAACTCCGCCCACTTTGGCCAAGCCCCGCCTACCACTGGCCTTTGACCTCCACTTTCCCACCCAACTATATCTTCTTTTTCCCCACTCTCCGGGACCTTCTGGAACAGAGTTCTGAAATTTTCGTCGCAAACTCCACCCACTTTGGTCAAGCTCCGCCCACCGATGACAGCTGGCCTCCACTTCCCCCACCCACCTCCATCCACCTTTTCCCCAGCCTCCGGGACTTCTTGGAGCCGAGTTTTATATTTTCGTCGCAAACTCCGCCCACTTTGGTCAGGCCCCGCCCACCAATGACAATTAACCTCCACTCCTCCACCCACCTCTATCCACCTTTTCCCCAGCCTCCGGAGCTTCATGGAGCCGAGTTATAAATTTTCGTCGCAAACTCCGCCCACTTTGGTCAGGCCCCGCCCACCAATGACAATTAACCTCCACTCCTCCACCCACCTCTATCCACCTTTTCCCCAGCCTCCGGAGCTTCATGGAGCCGAGTTATAAATTTTCGTCGCAAACTCCGCCCACTTTGGTCAAGCCCCGCCCACCATTGATAGCTGGCCTCCACTCCTCCATACACCTCTATCCACCTTTTTCCGGCTCTTTAGGACTTCCCCGACCCGAATTATGAGGGCTTGTAGAAAATGCTGTACACTTCAGAGCGCGCCCCGCCCATTCTGGGCGGGCCTCCGCCCACGTCATGTATGCAGGAAACACCTTAGACATTGCTCCCTTACACCAAATTGTTTTCTGCTCTGTAGGCTTTCTCCCAACCGAGTTATGAAATTTTTCATAAAGCACTGCTTTTTTAGAGAACGCCCCGCCCACCGGGGGTGGGTCTCCCTAATTCGATGTTACTTACCAATGCACACCTTAGCCCACTTTTTGGCCCAGTTTCGAGGTCGTTTTTTCACTGAAATCGAAATCTTGGTCTTTGGTACAATTCATTTCGACGCACGCCACGCCCTCTGTGGGCGGGGCTCCGCTTAGCTGATGTGTGTTTTGTATTACGTGAGACCCTGCCCACCCATCCCACACTTGACCCGGTCCCTCCAGGCGGATCCCGAGGAGCTAGGGAATTTCGTGACAGACATACAGAACGACAGACAGACGACAGACGAAGCGCTTTATAGTAAGTAGGATGATTAGTTGGTGGGTTATGAGGGGGGGGGGGTGATCTATGGTCTATTCAACCCCCATTACCTGGTTTTTTGGATGTTTTTGGACGAAAAACGCCTATTTTTTCACGAAAAATTTTACTTTAAGCGCACGCCCCGCCCACAGGAGGCGGAGTTTAGCATGGCCAATATATTCTAGTTGTAGAGCGGTAAATACCCTATTAAGGCCTTATTTTTTCCCTGTCTTTAGACTGTTCCGAAGCCAAAAACTGCAATTTTTCAACGAAATTTCGATTTTTGACGCACGCCCCGCCCACTTGGGGTGGAGTTTTTTATGGCCAACATATTCCCGTTGTAGAGCGGTAAGTACCCTATTAAGGCCTTATTTTTTCCCTGTCTTTAGACTGTTCTGAAGCCAAAAACTGCAATTTTTTCACCAAATTTTTTAATTTCGACGCACGCCCCGCCCACTGGAGGCGGAGTTTAGCATGGCCGACAAATTGCCCTAAGAGAGAGCGACTCATACTCTACCCATTCCAACATTGAACTTGACCCGCCCTCCCTAGGTGATTTTTGAAGGAAGAATTATAAACATTGGGGAACTCTAGCCCACTCCCCCCGAGCTTGGATATTTTTGAATCGGAGCGGTCAGAACAAAACATAAATCTCGTTTATATAATAGTATGATATGCCATAATGCAAGTTGACATAGCACTACTTTCCAACATGACCATGATGGCATTAAAATCATTCTTTCCATTCCTTACACTTTCATCAATATGGAAAGATAACTGCACATTTTCGCTCATTATTCTTTCACCTATTCTCAATTTTTCGCGCTCACTGTCTTACTTCCTTACAAGGAAGGTCGCTCAGGGTGTGCTAAGCTTTTTCAAAACGGTATTCTGCATGATATTGATGTACATGCGGGAACCACAAAACATGTTACTCTTCCTGACACGGAGTCACTGCAACTACCAAAGAAGGGCAATTGTCCCTCCGTTCACAGCCTTATTCTAGACACCTCTTAATTCGATCGAGAAGTCTCATTTGTAGGCGTTACTTGACGTCCTACATCCATTGAATTATTAGAACCAAAAAATTCAGCTCTAAATCCCAGTTTTGCTTCGCAACTTTGAAAGTCACCTGAAAGCAAAAACTCTGTCACCTTACGAGAAATCGATAATTACGAGCCCTTTTCCTTGTATATTCAGTAGCTTGACTGTCCGAAGAGATATGAAACACGCTTCTGCGTCCCCATATGCTCCTCCAACTGTCATGCAAATCGTTTTTGAAAAGACTTGGCATCTCGAGTAACGACCTTCGCCTTTGTTAGCTGCAATAGCAAAAAGATAACCGAAAGGCGACTTTACGTCTCTCCTCATCACCTGTTCCTACACGCTTTCAATTATTGAGCCCTACCTAATCTCAGCGTTACGATAGTAGGCGTGGTGCATTTATACACTCAAGGGTGAATGCACACCATTAAAAAAAAAGCATTCACTTTTTGATATATCCAGCGGTGCTCTCTGATATTAGGTTGTCGAAAAAGCTTTTGCGCATTTTATTCTTCATATTGTAAATACTCACTCTGAAACATATGTGAATGATGACTAATGCCAATGCAAAATTTTTGTTGCATTCCGCATTGATTGAGGATAAAAAAATCATTTTCATGAAATCGTGTTCGAGACACAGTTTCCAACTGCTTTATACGCCCACAAAGTGGCGTCGATTGAAGTGACGCAGGTTGCGGTAGACATCCAAACTCTCTTTTACGATACAGCAATTATTTGGCTGGCGTCCAGATACCTAAGAAGATTCCATAAATATGTCGATCCGCCACACTAAATGAGGAGTGTGTTCTGAGGTCGTTGGAAAGTGTTCCTGGTGCAATGCACAGGAAATTTAAATCAGGAAGATAGGAATGATAGATGATAAATGTTTCGTGATTTGGCCAACCCCACCTTCAAAAGCGCAAAACTATTGCGTGAGCATTTCGATTTCATGCTGTGTTTGATTTGTTGCCAACAAAGTTGTCATTGATAACAGGGTGAGAGATCTTCACATGAACCCTACAACCGGGCCACTTTGGGAATCTATGAGGCTGCAAATGTTTTGCTCGCGGACAGCTGGGACAGCTCCTGCCATCGAAACCCACTGCTACAATAGTCGCCACGTTTCCTATAAACCAACGATTTGACCCGTCGGGTGTGTATAGTTAGCCTGGCACGGGCCGACTACTGTAAGCTCCTGTTGCCGTCGAAACAGCCGAAGGAGTATTGTTCCGATGACCCGGTCCTATTCGGAGAGCTTCTCGCCGAAATGCTCAACATTTTTGAACGAACTGCAACCGGAAGTTATTTACGGAAGAGCAATGCTTTAACAATTGGCTGGGTATGTATTTTTCAATTTTTAACTGTAACTGTACTAAAAAAATAATTTTGAAAAAAAAAAACAAATGCGCAAGAATTCTTCAGACAACATTATAATTAATAAAATCAACCAAAGGCAAACTAACCCAGCTGACATAAGGATCTATGCCAGAAAATGAATAACTTCCATCGTCATTCCTTGCATAAAGTATTTCCACCCCGATGCTGTGACTAAATCCGGCTAAAGCCAACACGTATTGGATAAGAATCATAACCCGTACGTTCCTTCGAGTCCAAATCTACAACGCGAAGTTCGGATTGTGAAACACTAAATCTTTAATTACATTACACACCATTCAAAAATACTAACCTTATCGTACATCTCCATGAGACAAAGAGCAGAGTACCGATTGAAAGTAAGCAGCAGGTTTCCGATTATGTGAGCAATAAAAGTGGCTCCGCTTACAAATACAGCGATTGCAGTGACTTGCTTGAATTCCGGACCTAACCCAAGTTGGCGGTTAAGCCTATGGAAGCAGCTTGCGAAGAGTGAGAAGATATCCGCAAATCCTATGTTAAAATAGTCATGTCAAGAAGAGTGTGGTTTTGATAAGAGCTGCTCCTGTGTGTAGTACGCCTGATTTAGGCTACTGATATGTTCACCTAAACATTTTCCACACGTGCCACGAGTTTACTTATCGAATGTTTATTCAAAGTGACGTTCACGATCTGCGTCGCCCGATCAAGATCATGTTCCACGCACGCATCAGTGTACTCTGTCCAGTTGAGATCTGGGCCTGATTGCTGAGAGCAAATGCTCTTATTGCTGAGAGCAAATGCTCTGAGGTCAAAGCTCTCAATCATCTTCATATGGCGTGCAAACAGTTATCGTACGTACTGGGAATGTTGTTAAGGCTCAGCCAGAAGACACTTCCTCCGCTAATTGAGCGCGGTTGACCACATCAAATATGTCACGCTTTATTTAGGCATTCCGCGAGCACACCGTTGTCCTACGAAGGATAGACGATTCATTATCGCCTCAACTTTTCGCTGCTTGTAAAGTCCGCAATATGCATCTGCAAAGGGGCTATGGAGTAAGTTCAACGTTGTGCACCCCGATCACATGTCATTTATTGAAAACAAAAGCCCAAATAACGAATTCGTCAGAATGCCACCAGTATGGTGGATCGTTCATGCGGAAAATTCAATCAGGTTATACATATAACTCGTTAGAGATGATCACAGATGTCGTCTTTTGCAATGTAAAAGACAGTCAAGCTTCCCATCCTACCGAATAAATTGACAAGAAAAGCACTTATATTTGAAAAGGTGTGAGAAGAAAATGAATAAATGGTCAGTTCTCATTTTGCAACCTAAAACGAGGTATTCACGTAATCGCAGTTTTAATGCATTTTTGTTCAATAGGTGTCGTGTGCTCTTGATACGACGCTCGATTTGCATTGGAGAGCACATTCCTAGATGACAGGAAAGATTGGGGCATAATCTCTAACCTTTAAAGGGCGTGAAGTCGCTGGTCCGCATCTTCCACAAAACCGGAGGCTAAATCTCCTTTTGCTTACAAAAGTGAAGATGACTTGCACAGAGTTGTGCGCTTCAAACCATCCGAACCACGTTTTATAAAATTCGGAGATTGCTCAGCTGCATTTTTCTGGGCGCAAGCGAGCTCTCAGCGTTCCTCAGCTGGTAACATTCTTCAGTGGAAAACCATGAAAGTGCACTCATCAGAGATTAGAGAGAGATATGCATCAACATATGTACCGTATACACTAGAATCCTCTGCACGGAAATTTTTTCAGCTCACAATATCTGCCAGTCTCTATAATATGGCAGCTGTGACCTTGAATTTTGAAATTACACAATTCCCGTTCTAGGGGGGGGGGTACGAGATCCACACGTCAAGGATCTCAGATTATCTACAAAAATGACGTTTTACCACAATCACGATGCGCGATGCAGAATCACACCACCAGTCTAGAAGCTCCAAATGTGACCCACCCCGCTAGTAACTTACAATAGGCGATGATCCCGCTATGGAAGTCATTGCACCAGTGTCTCTACAATTCTGTGATTTTTAATTTGGTCTGAAAGAAACGGCCTTCTTATGAACAATATTTTTACTCATTCTCTCTGTAACATGAACAGCTTTGCATTTTCAAACCCTGCACCGGGATACACCATGTGCTAGACTGTGTTTTGAAGACGCAATGACATTTGAAGTCCGTTTATGTGGCTCTCAAATTCTGTCACTGAATCCTGACAAACGGCCGTTTCACCTTCCTTTAGGCAATTCGCTTTTCTGAAGGTGCGCACAACTGTTGACCCTGGCATAGTACGCACGCATAACGGAGACGGATCAAATCCGTACTTCAAAGGAATCCTTCGCGGAGAAATTCTTGCATTCTTTCTTGACATGAATGTGTCAGTTGTGATCACTGGAAACAGCACACAAAGAAGATTCGGTTTCCGAAGAGAAACAAACGTACAAAAACTACACTCTATGGACAATCGAAGGTAATTCGGGCGGAGCCAAAGGCGAGGCATGGAAAGAAGTTGGCCTTTGGCCGGCTACGTATCAGGCGACGCAATGAAAGAATCGGGTTAAAGCGCGCGATTTCGGAGAGTAGAGACAAATCGATCGATAGAATAGGATGGAGTAAGTGTAAGATGTGAATGCAATAAAGCAGAAGGCCAGAAAGAGTTTCTAGTGAAGGCACTCCAAGAACCAAGTGGAAGCATCCCCGTCGCCAGCATTTGTGAAAGACGTCCGTGGGCACTTTGAACGCGTAGCAGCCCTTTCGATTTTCGAATTTTTTACCAAAACAAAAGCAATATTTTTGTTTTTTTCATTGGCCAGTGATTTATGGCTGAAATAGAATCATGATTTCTCCGTAAAGGATTCTTTAATTTTCCTCCACACAGTTGCAGAAGATGTTTGGGAAGCAAATGTTGAGTTTTTAGAATACGAATGCGATTTTTAAAAATTCCAAGAACTGGAAATTGCTGTTCACATGTGAACCCGCCTCACTAACTTTGTCAAAAAATTCTAAAACGATTTATTCTTATTAATGGAAGTAACTAAATGCTCTTGAGCGTTTTACCTGTTGCCAAGAACATAATATAGAATGGAGTTTTGAGAACTTTTGTTTTTGTTGTCACCACAATGAACAGAACGAGCAGGTATAGAGACACCAGTGCTCCTTCTATTACTGTGTGTAGTACGTCGTGACTCATCTGTTCTGTAAATACACAATACATATGAACAAGTTAAGCCAAGCAAGAATATGGCATCGGGAAGAGGGATACGACAGTATTTCTAATTAGCCCGATCTTCTGCAAGAGCGCCTCTGATAGGAAACGCTTTCATTACTTTTCAAAATGGCTAGCAATCTTAGCCACAGATCTTTGTCAAGAAATTTGTCAATTCTTGATTTCTAACAGACACCAGGAAAGAGCGTAGCATTGACTCCAGCTTAGAACGTGATATAATTTAGCTGCTGTTCGCTTTAAACAATTGCTTCTAGCCCATTAG